GTTAACTAAGCTAGCTTACCAGCTTAGTCTTCTGATCATCCACTATGTTCTCCAGCTTTTCACATTTGACTTGAATTTTCTTTTTTGTCTTTCTCAAATCCTCCACTTGTTTATTGGCTTTCACCTGTTGTTGTCCCATATTCAAGATTTCTGTGTCCAACGAGTGAAGTTTTTGGTCTCGAGCTTCGAGAACCTTTGAATTGTAATTGTTTCATTTGTAAATACTATTTCCTTTCACCTAAAGTATTAATAATATCATACACTGCCGTGTAAAATTACTGATTTACGAAAGTTAAACGTAGCATCATTGTCTTATTTAATTTGGGCTGCTGGTATGTGTTTTTGATGGTCAAGAATGATAAATATCGAAGGAATAGAAAACGCGCGCGCGTGCTGTCATAAAGCACGCGGGGATTGGCAGAACACGAGAGAAGTGTTAGGAGAAGCACGACGCGTGGCGGAGTGCTTCTGGACACTTCTCGAGTGTTCTGCCAATCCCCAAGTGCTTTATGACTGCACACAGCACAGCAAGCAAGTTTTTTATTTCTTTTATAAAATACAAATTACAATAATAGATAGGAATGACGCAACTGAAAGTGCGCGCGCGTGCAATGTGCTCTCATAAAGCACGCGCTCCAAACCAATCAGAACGCGACATTCAWAACAGTTATTTTATAATGATATTGAAAAGTACAAAATGACAGAAAAGATTACACATTGACGTATAAGGTACAGTGAGGCCTAGAATAGCTAGAAGCTAAACTAACTCAGGATAGTTTAGCATCAAGAGAATATGATGTAACATTCTCTTGGTTAGCATGCATAAGTTCGAATTCAGGGTGGTCAGGAAGGCAGACAAAAAATAAAATAAAATAAAATAAAAAATGATGTATTATTATCGATGTCATTCCAAATTTTTACACCATTGTATCTTATATTGAACATGCCATAGCTAGTTCTGGCATGAGGGAGATAAAGGGATGATTTAGAAGAGAGTCTGGTATTTTAAAAATGCACCTCAGAGATGGCTTTAAAGAAAATTTTAAAAACTGAAGGTATCGTAGTGAATTGCAATAAAAATCATCTATAAATGTTGTTGAATGAAGGTGAACAAGATCTAGAAGTTGAATATTTTGAAGATTACTGAAAATTGGAGATGAGGGTGTAATGCCTCTGGGTCGGAGTCGATTGAAGTACCAAAACCGCCGAAAAAACTACGTACAAAACCTTATGTCAATACATAACATAATACACTATTCAAGGTGATGAAAGGGAAGAAAAAATAAAAGTATACTTACACAAATACATACATACTTTATTTAATATTGTTTAATAAAAAATAGAATAAAATAAACTCGAGTGGTCACGGTTAGATAGAGTAGACGCTTATCCATTTAGTAGTTGAATTAACTTACTTTGACTATGAATTGAAACTGTTTTAATCCCTCTGCAATACCCAGGCGAACTCGTCGTGAAGGACAAGACTTCATGGCTTCATCTAGAGTTTTGGACAGGTTTGTGGCAGCCTTGCTGAAATTGTCTGGTATTGCTAGTTCTTCCTCTAAGAATGGAAAATAAGCAGTAGGGTTTTTTTAAATGTCTCTCAGCAATATGGCAAACAATGGCGTATCAAGAATCCAAGATCGAGACAGAAGGAGCGAACGCACGCGCGTATTGGGCAGGCGCGAATTGTTCCCGCCAAATTACCATGAACGCCGTCAGCTTCATGGGCTTTTCATCTTTCAGATTTCGACTTTTGTCATATTTTCTATTTTTTTCGTCAAAAATAAGAAATTATTTAAATGTAGGCTTTTTATTCTATTTACGTCATTGATGGGAAGTAACATTGAGCCTTCCATGTGTATGACGACATTCAATCAGCCAGAAATTGAGTCTAACACCAACTCACCATTGAAGACTTTTTGGACCTTGGTTTTAGTAGGTATCGGAAGTCGTTGCGTGTATTGTTTCTTCTCGGGAGTCTCCTCGACAACTGCCTCTTCCTCCTCCTTTTCGCCGATTCCCAGCGAGTCAGCAATATCTTTTAGCTTCTTCATGGAGTTCTTAAACTCCTCAAGAACGCTTTGGACTTGCAAGGCTTTAGCTTCCTCGAGTAGGTCAGGGCTATAAGCACATATAGATGATTCTTGATCTTGGAAGGATTCAGGGAGTTCCTCGGCTGTTATTGCTTCCATCCAGGACTGGAGCTGTTCGAGCTGTTCTTCTCGTTCTAGGCAGCGTTCTATGAAGCTTGTGATGGTGTCCGTTGTCTCTCGGCGCTGCTCGGCCTGTTGAAAATTTCAGTTAACTAGTTCAGCAGCCCTTACCACAAATCTAAATTCTAAATCGATTTATCGGTAGCCTAAACAAGGGGGTTGCAAAACCTGTTAGACTTTCCGTATAGACCCCTTGCAGCACGTTGGAATTCAGCTCAATTTGGAGGACATAACAATAGGTTTCYAATTGTCATCGGATTGAAATTCTTCTGTTTTGTCATCCAAATTGAGATACTTTGATCATGACGTCACAAGCAAGGAGTCTATTAAATGAAATCCCCACTCACACATACAATTTTATTCATTTGTTTTGTACTTCCTGTACATGGGCCATATCACACTTTTCGTCTATGCTTCCTCTACAGAGGCCCTAATAAAGGTGAAAACAACTTTAACCTTAGAGTACACTCTCCTGCACTATATCTTACGGGCCCTATAAAAAAGGCTTGGACCCTACCCGTATAGCACACTTTTCTCTCTACTTCCTTTACAGTTCCTACTAAAGGGGTAAAACAGCTCCCCTCTTATAATACACTCTTTCCAGCATTATACCTTACGGGCACTATAAAAGAGAATAGGACCCCACCCGTATAGCACACTCTTTTCTCTACTTCCCGTACAGAAGCCTTAATGAAGGGGACATTTATAGTTCAAGGGAACTCAAATTAACAATTAACAATTCAATTTCCATAATTTAACAAGATATCGAGGGAGTTTATTAAATTCGAAGGGAATGCTTCCTGTTCGGGAAGAGGGGAGAGCTTTCCGATCGGAATGACAAATACCATTTATTTTCCAACCGAAAATTTCGGTTTTTCCGCGTGAATGGAAAGCGCGCGTGCATTATCTGTACAGTTCTGCACAATCATTGATTCCACATTACCTTCTCAGCCAGCGAGGGTGGAGTTAACGGTGCTGTCAAATCTTTCTTGAGCTGGTCGTAGTCAACATCCCCCTGATCTGAATATTCTTCTGAACTATCAAAAGAATAATCACTGAGAGAACTCCAACTGTCGAAAGCTTCTAGATCCTCAGAACTCAAAGAGATTTCATCTTCCGAAGACATGCTGCTAATATCAGATAATTGTTCCAAATCTTGATCAATCTTAGCGATTTGTTTCTCTATTTCTCTTGCTTCAGCTCCTGCCATTCTTTGTATTTTCTTCACACCTTCAGCGATCTGTCTTTTCAATTCTTCAGCGTCTTCATCAACAGTGTCTTGCATTTCTGYGATTTCGCTTTCCAATCCTCTTCTTCCAGCAGCAAYTGTATCTCTTTGTCCAGGTTGCTCGCCTGCTGTAAATTCATGCTCAATTCCTCGTTCTTCAGAAATCATTGCCATCTTCGTTGTTCTTCCTTCTTGGYCACCTTTAGCAATTTCATCTTCCATTACTTTCACTTCTTCTCTTGTTTCTATTTCTTTCCCTCGCTTTGTTCCAGCAGGAGTGATCTTACCTCCCCTTTGTTTCGTTTTCGAAAGCCTTCCCTTTTCTTTCGTCAAATCTTCGTCCGAACTCTCATCCATTTCTTCTTTTTCTCTTGCTTTTCTTTCTGCTTTTCTTGCTAATCTCTTTTTCATTAAAGAGTGTCTCCTTTTCTTTCTTAGTTTTCTTTTTCTCTTCTCTTCTTCGATTCTTTCTTTCCTTGCTAAATCTACCTCAGGGGTAACGCTTAGTACCTTCTCGCTAGTCTTCAAGTCCTCGAGAGTAAAGTTGATTCGATTCATGATGTTTTTAAGTTCTTCCATGGTTTTCTGCTTTGCTCTTTCAGCCTGCGCTTCTTGTATTTCTTGGAGCGCTTCCTTTCCAGCCATAGCGAAGAATTCCAGCTTTTCTACGTCCGAGACGTTCATGGCCAGCAACTGTAATTTAGCTAGTTCACCTAATCCAACACCAGTGCTCGCATATCCATGTTCAGGCGTCCCAACTGTTGAACATAATGTAAGTATTATGAATAAACAATGGAATCAAATTATTTAAATTGGAAGAATGGAAAGGAAAATGTTCGCATCTACCCCTCTACCCAATGTTAGCATCTACCCCCCTCCTACCCAATGTTAGCATCTACCCCCTCTCCTACCCAATGTTAGCATCTACCCCCCTCCTACCCAATGTTAGCATCTACCAAAAATCCGATTGAAAAAGTTCCACTACGTTTTTGTAAATATTATCTTGGCGTAAGTAATAAGGCTTCGAATATTGCTTCACGTGCTGAACTTGGACGTTTTCCTTTGATAACATTTATTGATAAACTTTCTTTAAAATACTTTAATCATCTTTTATGTTTACCTGATAATT